ATTTTTATTTTTTCACTTTATAAAAAAGAAAATATGCTGAATAAACAATTAGATTTTCTTGCGAGTCAGAAATGTTATTTTAATTTTAAATACAATTTATTATTCAAAAGATATTTCTGATGCCTGTCTAATTAAATGATTTTTCTAAATTTTGCAGATTAATGTAAATTCAAAAAGAAAAGCTGGAAAAGATTACCTCTTTCTATTGAAATTAACACAGAAAATGGTTACAGTAAACATGTGAAAAGAGTAGCAAAGTGAGCCTTTTTAAATTCTATGCTGACCTTTACTGCTTTGTTCAATGTAAAAACTACACATTTTTTTAATGTATAAAAATAACAAAGTGACTTCTCTTTGATTCTGAATGCCAAATAAGATTTTTGTTAATTTCTGTCTGAATTTCTGAGACGAGAAATTACATTTACATGCTGACTATTGTCCTCATCTTTGTTGCTGTTAACACAACGTTTCGGTCGTTGTGCCCTCCAGCTTTAATCAGATGTCAATCCAGGTAAACTACAGAGAATTTTGAACTGAACTTGGACTCAGTGGAAATGGAGCAAGCAATAACTGACCAGTACTAAAATTAGAAATAGTGGGCAGAGGAACAAGAACAATGTACCCTCATAAATTAAATAAATGGTTCAATTCGAAATTCTCTGGATCAACATACACCTGATGAAGACTAGAGGACACAACAGCCAAACTGAAATATTGTGATAACAACAAAAGAGGAGGTTAATAGTCCATATGTAAATAATATAAATAAGATTGTTGAATTGACTGAATCAAAAATGAAACAAATAAAATGGCAAACATCTTTCTCAGAAACTCAAAATATAAATTGCAAAAATTTATCCAAATTTATTTGGTCTATAATTTATTATACCTAACTGTTCAGCAACATGTGGGACCAGGTGTTTGTTTTTCCATCACTTAAAGCAACTGTAAATTTATTTATTTCTGTGAACTCTCATATTTCAGCATGAACCATAGTTGTACACACAAATACACACACAAAACAATATATATATACATATATATATATATGAAGAAATATAGTTTTAAGGTATGTTATATTTATGGGATAAAATGTTCAATATCAAAGATTGAGCATATGTAAATATAAAGTGAACATTGAAATCAACACTCAGAGGCAACAAACTGTTTCGCACTAGATGCAATCGTCAGGCAGCTTGACAATTGCATCTAGCATGAAACAGCCTGTTGCTTCTGAGTGTTGACTTCAGTGTTCACTTTTATTTTACATACGCTCTATCTCTGATATTGAGTACTTTATCCCATAAATATAGCATACCTTAAAACTATATTTTTCATGTATATATATATATATATATATATATATATATATATATATATATATATATATATTATTTGATTAAGATAAAAAGAAGAGTTTTTGCAAAAATCTTTTTCGATTTATTTTGTCTTGCTCTTTATGAAACAAATATTTGAAATTTTTTTCACTTTCTGGAAAATTCAAGTTTTAAAGTGTAAACAAATGATGTCACTCCAAAGTAGGGATGCAACCCATAGTGAATGTTTAATGTGTGGGGGTGCGTACTTGTTGATGATTGACTGTGGACCTGGGTGACTGGTGATATGGAAGGAATTGTGTGCAGAAATGGCAGAATTGGAGGTGTTTCTTGAACAAGGTCCAGTAGTGAAGGTGGCAATAAACAATCGCATGGTTTCCACTCAGAACTCCTCCAAGCAATGCTTGAAAAATGAAAAATAAGAAGGTACTACAGAGCAGTGTACAGGCCAAGAGGAAATGGAATAGTAGAATGACACCATAGGACCATGAAAAGAATAGCCATGAGGAGGAGGAGGAATATCACCTGTTGAAGTGACATTTCAGTACAACATGGCAACTAAGGTCAGACAGAGAAAAGAGACAGTACCACAAAGGTCAATTTTCACCTATGAGCAGAGGCACTCGAAAGGTGTATCCTTGAATACTGATTATAAAGGGTCGGCCAGAATCCAAATAGGGGAAGAGGTTTGAATGAAGCTACCAAACACATGGTGTATGACACATTGGGGTAGACAGGTCGTGACTAGAAGGCAATCACCTAACAACCTGACTGCTGATGGTATGCCATGGCATATTTTGAATTTAAGGCGAGTGGTCCTTGCAGACAATGATGTGATTACTGAACATGGAGGCAATAGAAATGAAATTGTACCAACGCAAAGACTGCAGAAAGAACGCACAGTGTTGACACAAGACTATGTTGTATAAAATGATCTTTTAGGAACATGGGGGTCCTGTAGTTTGAATGACAGAAGAAGAGATAATAGAATGTCGCTTACCTCGTGGTGGAAGAGGAGAAGAAGCGGTGACATGCATGAATTTTTTATAGAAAGATATTGCAGAAAGAGATGAATTATGAGAAAGAAGAAAAGTTATAAAGCTTGACAAAAAACAGGAGTCAGTGAACTTTTTTTGTTCATTTCGTCTAAGAAAGTTTGCGAAAGAGGAAGAAGGAGATTTAAAAGTAAGGAAGGAAAGAAGAAAGAGGTCCTGGGAAAAGCTTTATTTTATTTTATTTTTTTAACTACACTCTGGTCAACCGTTTTTTTTTGTGAAACAATTTTTATTATATGCCTCCATACTGTAAAATTATTGATCGTATGAACTAGCGAAGGCAAAGCAAGACTCCAGTTTAATACTAAATTTACATTGTAATGCGAACCATCATGCAAATAAACTAAAAAAAAGGTTAATTTCCCTAAAAATAGTCATATTTTCATTAGAAGCATATAAAAATACATAAAAAAAAAATACACATTTTAATTTGTTTATGCCTACATTTATTTTATTTACATTCGTTTTCCAAGGTTTGATCATGTTTTGTCCAGGAAACCCAACTGAATTAGAATTTAGTGGATCCTCAAGAATGTTGTAGTTTCTTCCATAAGAAACAGAAAAAAATGGACTACTGATGTTCATCCCTCAAATAATCACACAGAAAATGGCATGAGGGTTCAGAATATGAGGCTAGTTAAACAAATTAATAAGTTTGTTACGCAGAAATCGTTTGGAGCAACAAAAAATTAAACAATTCAATTAAATTCGGTCGTTAAAAAAATAGTTAGTGTGTTTTGTATGAAAATATTTTTCTTAGGTATTTTAATGTGCTGACCTTAATTTCTTAATTAGACTTTTAAAAGACTTGGCGAGTGACATTTGGAATGTTCAGTTTAATGCTGAACTGAACCTTTACTTTGTGTCCGTTTTTAAGAAAGTGATGGTTCTTTTTGTTAGTTTTAGACTAGGTCACTAGAGTAATAACTAATTTATAAATGTCAATGGTTTTAAAGTACAGACGCCTAAAAAGATCAAATTACATTCTTTATCTGTAGTAGGTTCTCAGTTAGTAGTATTAAGAAAAAAAATAACCATAAACAATTCTAACTTCAGGTTATTCATTCTAGAAACTTATTTCTTCTTTAGGCTTCCGTACTTCAAAATTATTAACATTTAAACTAAACACAAAATCAGGGAACATTTTGGCATAAATTGTCAATTGAACCTGGGGAGAGTCGCTTTAAAACTTAAAATAATAATTCAAGCTAACCAAATATTTACATTTTACAACCTTAATTTGTTTTTGGTTGGCGATTATATTTTTTTCGAAAAAATATAAAAAATCTATCAGTATGAATCAAAGAGAATGATTTTGTCTTTTTTAAACAAAAACTTTCTGAATTACGTCTTTTATTATATAAAAAAAATTCTTTTGTCGATCGTCTCAACACAATAATAAACATGTTTAACGTGGTCAACATTGTTTAATTTAAGTTTCTGTTTAACAACAGTAACAACACCTTTTTTTAAATTTTAAAATGTTTTTATTTTTAAAATTGTTATTATTACTTCAATACTAACTGATCTTGTGGGATTGCTTTTTGATCATGCATAATCAGGAAGGTAAATAAAAGAAAGTACAAAAAAAGAAACTGTTTCGTCTTGTGATGTGATCGCCTGCCTACCTACCTACTCATCTACTGAATTCGTTATTGTTTTGTTTTTAGCCACTTCTCTTTTTAAATAAGTAAATGTAAATTTAAAAAAAAAAAAGCCAGGGAAATAAATTCTTATTTTCATGTCAAGAGATACAATTGATTTGATTTTAAGAATTACAATTGTTTTTTTTTTGTGAGGTATTTAATTAACACCTGTTTTTTATTATTCTTATTTCAAGTTTTATTCCGGCTATCGTTTTTTTTTTTTAGTTTAACTTAACACCCTAAACTTAATTTGACAGAAAGAAAATAACCAGTTTGCTCTTATTTTTTGGTTTTACGTTGATACAAAAAATTAAAAAAAAATCAACAACAACGATGTTTAAAAATAAAGTTTAAAAAACTACAAAATAAATTTTAAAGCATTTTTAAATGTAAAAGTGTAGAGTAGACAGTGTCTGTGTACACAAAAAGAAGAGTACAAAAAAATAAGGATGATAAGAATATGATTATTGATTGATAGATGTCCGTCATGTTCACCACCAAGTCAAAAATGAAATTATTGTGGTTTTTCCGGATTCGAAAAAAATGTAACTGATTTCAAAACTGAATCAGTCCTCTCTAAAATTTAAAACAAGAGATAGATCATAACAATTTTTAACTTGCCATACACGTTCGTTACACCAGTTTAAAAACACGCTAGATCGGAGAAAATAAATATACTACAACTAGACAGTTGTTCGATGTAATTAATAAATTTGTTAATTTAATGTTCTTTGCTTAAAAAATAAAATTTTGACAAAGTTAAATCTAATTTTAAGAGAAAAACAAGCACTTGTAGTTTGAGTTTTGCTAAGGAGTTTGTATTTTTCTTTCGATTTGCGTCGCATAAAATAAGCAGAAAAAAATCGCTTAAATGAAACAGACATGATATTCAGATTGCAAATGAAAAGGTATCAGTTAAAAACAAAAAATTAAACAAAAAAAAAAAAAAAAGAGATACTGACTGTCAACTTGCCCACCAGTGCTTCGAACTCCACCGCCCTCCTCTCCAGAGGACGGCATGGTGCACTTTTTTTTGTATTTATCCCAGTTGCAATATAAGACGTTTTGGTCTTTCCAATGATGTTTTTTTAAATAAAAGAAAAAAAAATCTTCAGGAGGTAGCCAAGAGTAATTAAAGTTAAAATTTCTGTTTTGTTTTGTCTTAAAAAAGAAAGAAAGAAGCCAGATTAGTTGTTTGTAGGATAGCTATAGTGTGAAGCCGAGTCTGTTCTTGTGTCCTTCTATACAGCAGCAATAACAACAAGAGTGACCTGCTCTTGTAGTCTTGCTGCTCGTCGCCTCAGAGTTCCATCCCCGCCACGTGAGTTGTTTTGGCTTTTGTTTCTCTTTCATTTCCTTTTCTGAAAACATTTTTAAAATCAAACGCAAACATTTCCACTTTAAGCCCATTAGTATTGTAATCACTTTTCAGTGTCTAAGTTCTATAATAATAATAATAATAATTATTATTATTTAACCCTGATACTAAAAAGAATCCTTACTAGTTGTCTGTCATAGCACTAAAAGGTGACTAAAGGTTATGTTCTTCTGTACAGATGAAATCAAGAGACGTATATGCGTGTCGGAACTTTTGTAATATCATCAGAGATGAAAAGAAATTAGTATTTATCCAAAGAGAGCTGAAAGTTTTCGATCATGCACGTCAACTAAGGTCGTCCGCCATTTTTACTTTGCAGTAACCTACGACGAAATTAATAATAAAAGAAAGAATAATAATAAGTAATAATCCCAGAAACAATATTATAAGGTTTTTCTATTTACTTTTATTTTCTAAAAAAAATATACTTAACTAACTTCTTAATTAACCTGAACGGCTATTTGAAAAAGATTAAGGAGCAAACTTAATGTTGGCACGTGTTAAGTTACAGCAACAAAAAAGTTTTTCAATGTAAAGAAAAAGTAGAAAGTTTAAGTTTAAAAACTTTATTTTGGAAAATAAAAAAATGAAACGCAAGCTTACTTTTCAACTTGGTATGTTTTAACTTTAATTTTACAATTCTATTATAAAGCAGAAAAGTGATTATGAAGAAAATTCATCTTTAAAAACAATTTCAAGCGCACAAACAATTTCTTATTCGAGAGTACAACTTTGTTGTTCCAATTGTCTTGAAAACCATTTCTCTCTAGTATTTATTAAATAACGGGTGGAGTTGTACAATGTAACAATAGGCAGTATGACTAGAAATATGTTGTTTTTTTTTTTTTTTTGGGGTAAATTTTTTTTTTTTTTTTTTTTTAAACACTCCAGAAAAGTCTAGAATCGATGCGTAAATAATGAAAATAATTTTGTTAATTATTAGCTAAAAAAAATGTATTATCTGGGGTACATTCATAAAGTTAAACTAATTTTGTTGATTTACAATAATCTTTTTAATTCAACAAAGGTACCTCTACGTACGAGATCGCAAAAAAAAAAAAAAAATGCTCCAAAGTCCAAACCGAACGTAATGAAAACAGTTTTATCGTCAAAATCGTTAAGGATCAACGAAGTACTTTTTTTGATTATAATTAAATTTTTTACTCCTTTTTAGAACATTCGAAATTTTTATTTAAAAAAAAAAAAAAAAAACTTGTTTTTCTTGACTCAGCGGCCGTTGTACTAACTTTTTTAGCATAACAAATTTTCGCGGTGACAGACATTAATTTGGAAATTCTTGCAAAAATCAAATAATAATTGTCGTATTTTAGTAAAATTTTCAAGCATTGACAAATGAAATTATATTTGAAATTTTTTTTTTTTTTTTAGAAAATCTAGGTAAAAATATTTTTTATCTTGCATGTGTTTCTTAATTTTATGAGAAATTCATCGAGATAATTTAATTTATTTTTCAGTGACTATGTAGTTAAAAAAAAAAAAATCAGAATTTTTTAAGAATTTTTAAATGACCGATTTTTTTTTTTTCACAAAATAGGACCATGTTTTACTAACGAACATCTTTTCAGAATCGAAAGATAAAAAACGCAATAACACTATTATTGCTTTTTGTTGGATGAAAAAGACAATATTGCCTGAAGAAAAACATTTTTGATGAAAAATGAATTTTTACAAGATTTGTTTTCAATTTTTTACAATTTAAAATTAAATAATTTTATAAAGTTTTTGAATCTTTTAAATAAAATCTAATTTCTTTGAGATAATTCTTAAGGGAATATTATTATTAAATAAAGCATATTACAATCTGAAGACCCCCCGACTATTTTTAAAAGAATTTCGATTTGTTTTTATACATGTATTACAGAATTTCTGAAATGTGGATAAATCTATTCTTAAAAGGTCACGGGTTTATGAGGGAGGGGAAAATTTGTCGTCTGCTACACCATAGTTAACTATGAACATGTTCGGTGGTCAATTCACAGTCAATACGTCAGAAAAACAAGATCACGTGGTTAAGAAATGCTTTTATACAACATTTTATGCTATAAGTAATATTTGTTTCAAATCAGATTAACTTAACTTTAAATTTGCCAATTTTTCTCAACCTTTCAAAAATATATATTTTATTTTTGCAAGACTTTTAAAACAGAAAATTAAGTTTTGTTTACAAATGTTTAAAATAGCTGACTTTATTGAGTTTACTGAAAAAAAAAAAATGCAAGTCTATTCCAACTGATATAATTTCTGTCTGAAATACACCAAAGTATTTTGCTTACCAGGTATAGTAAATTTAATCCTTTAGCTTTCATTTGAAGCTAAATTGAAAGCTTCAGGAAAACTTTTATTTTCTAAAAATTAATTTTAAACCTTACATATACCCAATTCGTGAAGGTACCTAAGAGAATAACTGGATTCATCTAAAGCATTTCCTCAGAAGAAAAGAACCAGCAAGTATTCCCACGGATAGGAATATCTGATTATATTTTGAAAAAATGTATTTAAAAATAAGAATAAATGATACATATAAATTTAACTCACAAATTATGGCCCCTGATTTTAACTAGAGACTTACTCACATCAGCTTCCAAATATAAAAAGCAAATTCTATAAAAATTAATAGGGGTGCAATTTTTAAATTTTAATAAATCATGTTGTAGAGCTTTTGTAGGGAGATCAATTTACATAGTAAACTGAACTTTCTTTTTCTTTTTTTTTCTTTTTTTTTAAATTCTTTAGTATTCATGATACTTAGTAATATGAAAAAGAAAATTTTTGAAAAATCATTACTGTATGTTTCCATGTATAAGACGACTTTTAAATCCCAAAAATCACCCTTAAAAATTGGAAGTTGAACTTGTACTACAATTCTAAAAAAGAAACTTTAAATTTTGAGTGATATTTTTATTGATAGGCTAGCCTCAGTGCAATAACCAATAATGTACATGAAAAGATTCACATTATCAAATAAAGTGAAAAGTAATACAACCATTTCTACCTTATATATTACTGGATTGACATCATAATTTATTGCCTATTCAAAGAATGATTTCATATCAATGAAATCAAATTGTATCCATGCAAGTTCAGATGAGAAAATGTAAACATCAAATTATGATTACGTTCACAGCAATGGAATGTAGTATTATTGTACTGTTATTAGTGGTATTTTGGGATTGCCACTGAAGTATTAGTGAATGGCCATTAGTACACCAGGCTGTTTGTAACTGTTTATCTATAGCAAAAGAAGAAGAATCGTCAATCGCAAGAGATTACATGATGAAACGTAAACGAAACAATAGTTTCCCTTTTGGAGGACATGTGTAGAAAATGATATTGGTTTTGTCATTTTGTTTATTTTGAATTTCTAAAGATACAGTAAGTAACATTTTCAATAACATCATCTTTATGTAATCAATAAGCAGTCATCTTATACTACAGGTATAGGATAAATTTATGAAGATTTGTGGTATTTTTTTTATCTAATCTTATCTAAAGGTTGCCTTATACATGGAAATATACAGTATTTCTAGTGGCAGTGCCTTTGTATAACTGCACCAACATATCCTTTTAAGGAAAAAAATATTTTTTCATTATATTTTAAGCAAAAGTAATTTATTTACAAAATCTTTTTTTTTTTTTTTTTTTTTTTTTTTTTCACAATGATTTTCACCTTGTACAAGGCCCAAGAGCCACTCAAGGTATATGGTTACAGAGTAAGAGACACAGTTTGTGGGGAAGATAATGGCTAACAATAGACTTGAAAAGGTTAAGATTGTCATGATTGGGAAAACATCCTTTTGACAGTTGATTCCAAACATAACAACTGATTGTCAGGAAAATGCTGCTTAAGTGGAACTTGCATCTCACCAGTGGAATATAAAGGGAATGACAGTGGATTGCTACAATGTGTACGTGGCATGGTGGATATTAGGCATGAAAGAATGAGGTCTGTCTAAACTCTCTCCATGGAAAGAGCAGCGAGAGGTTTGCAACGTTTTGTCTGTAAGAGAGGGGTTGTAAGGAGGTAAATAATTAATCACCCACAAGGACAAAGAGATGCTTTTGGACACTATCAAAACTGAAAAATAAAGATTGAGATGCTCCTATCCATATATGGCATCACTACTCCATTCTCTGCCTGATCTGGCTCTTTTAATAGTAGAGGATAGCAAGAGGAGTTAGGTACTACTGGAGTGATACAAAGAAGCGACCATTTTTCCAGCATCTTTTAACAATGGCTCATATGCATGAGTTGAGATTAAGTCCCAACAGGTGCTTAAGCCACAAGACCTTTGTGAAAGAACATTCGTTAAATTTACTATTTTTCTTTGAATTAAGAGAAGTAAAGAAGGCATGGCCTAATCCCTTTAAAATATGATTAGAAATGCTATTTTACAAGCAATTAAATTATAGGAAATATTTTTTAGTTAATTGACTCTGGGAATTAAATCTCAACAAATCCTTTTCTGGGAGCCATCCAAAATAAATAAAGCACCACAAAGTCTTGCTTCATTGGTTAGACTAACTTCAGCCTTGGGAGCTTAATGTTACCCACTTTTGCTCACACCCCTTTTGTCTTCTTTCTTCACAGAATTTGAGGATTTACTACTTAAAATTTACAGAG